TAACCAACCCTAAATCTTACATATCTAAAAGTTATTAAAATATATAACAAACCCAACAAATGTCAACAAAACTTTCACAAATAAAAAGTAAATAACTTAACAAGTAAAAAAACTTCTCCACCAATAAAAAAATAATTCCAAACAAAAATTAACAATACTCACAAAAAATCCAATAAAAATATATCACCAACAAATTTTAACAAGTATGTAACCAAAACCTAAACAAATTTCAGCAAACATAAAACTAATAAAAACTCAACAAATTGGTAACCGAAGCCCAAATAAATTTCAACAAATAATTAACTAACAAAAACTCACTAAAATCCAAACAAATTTCAACAAATTTATAACAAAAAATTAAACTCTAAACTCTACAAATAAACTCAACAAAAAACAAACATAAAATAAAGTCATTAAAAAAGAATTGACTAGAGTTAAGGGATAAGGTCACAAAGCCAACAGCAAGGTGGTGACGAGGAGAAAGGGAAAGTGGGAGAGGCGAGGGAATGAGAGTAGAGTGGGAAAGGAATTAGGAATTAGGAAATTTAAGAGAAAAGTGAAAGGGCTGACAATGGGGGGTTTTCAAATTTTTAATTTTAGTAACGCTTTTATCGACGAAAATTTTGTCGGTAATAAAAAAATTTTTGAAACACTATTACTGACAATTTTACCTACAGAATTTCCATCAATAATATCAAAAAAAAATTTTGAATTTTTTTAGCAATAGATTTTTTCGTTAGTAAAACCATCAGTAATATTAAAAAAAAAATTTTTTTTAGCAATGAATTTTTTCGTTCGTAAAATTGTCAGTAATTATTAGTGATAGATTTTTTCATCGGTAAATCCATCAATAAAATTGGTGCAATTCATGCCAGACTTTTAGCGATGGATTACCTACGAATTTTATTCCGTAGGTAAAATCCATCAATAATCTGTCAATGAAAGTGTTTAAAATTTTCGTCGATATTCCATCGATAATTCATCAGTAATTAGTGATGAAAAATTTCATCGGCAAAAATACATGAATAATAAATGTTTTGTTGGTAGTGTATAGAACCTTTTTATCCTGTAATGTCATGTAGATATAGACATGTTGGAAAGACGATCGCATAGATGTTGATAAGGTAAGAAATTTTTTTTTCAATTTTCATCCTAAACAAGAGTTTAATTGAAAAAATACATTTTAAGAGTTTAATTAGACAAAAAAATAATATTTTAAAGGCTTAATTGGTTACAAAAGAGGGATGAGGATTTATACTTTCCCACATTTCTAAAATAGGTTTCTAGCCTTTTATTTTTATCCAAATGAAATCATAAAATATTTTTTTATTTAATTAAACCATATTTTACATGAAAACTTAAGGAAATTTCTACATTTCAAACTCTTAAACTAAATTTTCAATATTTTAATATAGTAAGTTCATTGTTAGTTTAATTTGGATTCCACAATTTTAATAGTTAAAAGAAAACAAAACTTTCAAACATGAACATTTAGCAAATAATAAGTGCATATATCTTTCGGTCAAAAAGTCACATAAAAATTACTGACTAACCTCAAATTCAACAAATATATATATTATTGATATAAATGGAAAAGAAGCTTTTAACTAAAAGTTTCCAAACCACAATGTTACTATCCAACAATACTACGAAAGTAAAACTCAAAAAAAATTTTCCCTAGTTTCTTTTTCTTTGTACATTAATTTCTAATTAAATACTCCCTGTACTATATTTAAGTGATTTACTTTTATTTAACGCACTGACTTTGCATATATAAAAGTAATTTACTTTTAAGAACTTAACTAATTTTAATTTTATTTATTGATGCAGCATCATCATCAATGTATAAAATATTAATTATATATATTAATTTGAGTCCTTAAACATTTGAACAATAAGGAGAGAAAGAAGGAGATTGAAAAAGCAAATTATATAAGTACCTAGAATTATTATCCAAATTGTTATCACCTAATTAGTCACAAACTTCATGACCAACAGTGCTCCCAATTTCCCAATTTGATGGTCATGAAAAGATTGGAAAATGGAAAGGGCTTGAGCAACCTGCTGCATGGTTGGCTGAAGTTGGGGATTGCCATTCCAGCATGTAAATGCTACCTTTGTAGCAGAGACTACATCTTTTACAACTTGGTTTCCTAGTTGTGGGAGACATTGGCGTTAGAATAAAAACTATAAATCTAGAATTACTACTTCTGAAAAATCTGAAATTTTGAGACAATGCTTTAAGACATATAACAGTACCACTTTTCTTAAGGTTTTATTCATCCCTATTGTATTATTTACTTAGTAAGTATGCAAAGGGATTACAAGCAATAAACCTCTATGATACAATGAAGCCCAATGATTGGTTGCATTTTGCACTGACAAAATTAGTCTACCGAGCATTCATCGACGTATTATAAGATCACTGATCTTCTATAAGATTTTCTATAGCAAAACTTTATAAAAAGAAATCTGGAGTTTATATTGATGAAAAAAGGAGAGTTCTGAGAATTGTTTCTCTATTTTCTTATAAAACCAAAGGAGCTTATATAATGAATTAAGTGTTTGTTTATTCTACAGACATAACTGTCTATTTTAAATAGATAGAAACTTTCTATTTTAACGATTAAAAACTATCTATTTTGAATAAACTTATCTTTCTGTTTTGTACAGAATGTCTATTTTTTTCTATTTATTTTGGACAAACTTAACATTATTTGTTCGGAGACAGACTCAACTAATTAAACATTTCATTAAAAAATTATAAAATAAAATAATATTTTATTTACTACAGTGTCAAGTGCCATTAATTAAATATTAATATTAATTATATAATTAATCTAAGACCTACCAAGCTTAAAAATCCAAGCCCATGGTCCATTAGTCACTTAAGTCCAACTACAGTGGACTTCTACTCCTCTTAATTTAAATGATTATTTATTTGCTCTTTTCTAATGTGAGATTATTTTTTATACTTTATTTAAAATTTCTAAATAGTTGGTCTATCACATCTTTAAGTAAAATTTGTTGGTCACTAGGTATTGATGTCGATGCCAATGCCGACGTCGATGATAAACATGATAGAAGATCATTAGGATGCATCCCCTAAAGAACTTTCATTATTAGAACTCTAAAACTATAGACATTGCATTTCTCATTACCTTCATTGTATAAGCCAACTCTGCCTAAAGAAACATATCTAATCAATATGCTCTATTTAGTAAGAAATATATCTAATCAATACACTATTAATTATTATGTAAGAATATTGAGAAGATTATAAAATAAATGTTGAAAAGAAATCAATTTTGGCTTCACCTGTGGCTACAAAGTAATACTTTATTTCTTCCAATTCTTGTTAATGATGAAATTAATTACATTGGTTGGTTGAACGATGATTTAAGTGTTTTTGAGCATTTTTTTTATTTCTTAATATAGAAAATGGTGATTTGAGCTTAATTTTTAGTGAGTTATATGTATTTATTGCTAAATCAAAATTTTGGTGCAAATTAGGTTTTTTAATGGAAAAATAATTCATGGAAATTATTTTTAAATAAAAAATATCCAATATATGAGTGAATATTTTAAACTTCCCAAAATGGTTTACAAGATTTTCAGTTTATCACATGTTCATAATTAAGTAATCAAAAAACTTAATGAATTAACTTATATAATTATTGGAGAAAAATTATTTTTATTTATTGGCAGTAAAATTTTTAAACTTTATAAATTAAATTGAAAGATTATTTATCTTCAACTTTTTGATCTAATGATTAAGAAGGTTTAGAAAGACATGTGAGGTGGAGTTCAAACGCCACCATTCCTATCTCATATCCCCCTATCCAATGGATAAAAAAATTCACTTCTCTAAATAGAGTATATTTATAAAAAATTAACAAATTGATTAATTATTTAAATAGACATAATGAGTTTTTTAAAAATCCACTACTTGTGTTTTTGTATAAAATAATAATCCAAATGTTAAATGGATACAAAAACACTTTAAAAATAATTTATAAAATTAAAAATTACCATTGTAATCTTAAAATATGTATAATTTTTTTGGGAGTATATAATTTACAATTATTATAGTATAATTAATTAATTATAATTCAACATTGTGTGGAGTTCATAAAAAAATAATGTATAATCTACACTTTTAAGTAGTGGACTCTTATACAAGTTTTTATCGTGATTGGGTAATTACAAAATTGCAATAAAAATTATATGTGAAATGAACAAATTTTTTTTATAATTAATTTTGTTCAAAGCCGGTAGGTTTCCAAATAAACAAACAAGAGTACTCTTTACCATAGTATAAAAATTCAAAACGGTGGAAAAGAATAAAGTAGTTATGGAAATTCATTGAGATTTAATAGTTTAGGCTCACACAATGATTGTCAAAATGTGGTTAGGATAAATTTGAAAACATGTTGGACTAAATTCAACTCAATTTTAGTTTGGGAAAAAATGTTTTGTATTTTTGTTAATAATTATATTTTGTATTTTATTGGCTATATATTATTATTAAAAATTTTGGATTGAATTTAACTACAGTCAAACCCCGGCTATAATTAAATATCAAAAATGAAAAATACTTTGTGATGATAAACTCTTGAATTTTTCATATAATCCTCGATCCTTCTATTATATCCAATAAAGTCCTTAAAATATTGTTTTTCTCTAAATAAATCTTTAAAGTACAATTTTGTTCCATGAAGCTCTTTTTCAAGATGAAAACTGCAATATATATATATATATATATATTTCTTGCCAAATCAACATATATGTCATAGCTCTTTCTATGATGCCAATATCTGCATAGCATGTGTTTGAAAAAAAAAAAAGCCTTTTAGATGCTAATATGGCCTACTATATAAGCCATCCATTGCATATCATATAAACGATAACTCAACTTAATTTTTTATATTTTTAGTTTTAACATTGATTTGACAAAGACAAATATTATCGTTGACATGATAAAAATAATGAATTTAAGTAGTTTTATGTAAAATAAGACTTAATTAACTAAGAATAATGCTTTGTACTATCCATTGGATTAAAAAAAGATAAATTTATTTGAGAAATGTGAGAAAAGTATGACATTTTTTAGCATTTTAGTAAAAAATAAGTACAAGTTAAATGTATAGATATACTTCAAAATCATCACTCAAATCCCTTTCAAGTGTACTCAATACAATTACAATTAAATTTTGAATGATTTAAAAGGTAGGAAATGAAAAAAGGTTAGAAAGATGAAATTATGAAAAATCATGTGTTGGTGTGTGTCAATGAATAAATGGTCAACAAATAGAAAAATCAAAAGGTTATTGCATGAAGTTGTGTTTACTATAATTTGGTGTACTCACCAATTGTATTCTTTGTTTTTTCAAACAAATAAAAAAGCGATTTTAAACTTACTGTAGCATTCCAAAGTGAAAGTATTATAGCAAATCGGTACTACAATATTACAATTGATATGAAAGTCAAAATTTTATGTCTGGCCATTAGTTACATTTTAGAAATAAAAAATCTTGAATATACAAATTTAATGCTTAAACACAGCTGTTTTATATCATAGCCGATTCATTACAAAAGCTTTACTATTAGAGTGCTTAAACATTTTCAATACAAAGAAGAGAAAAAGAAATAGAGTGCTTAGAATTGTTATTCAAATTATTAGCACCTTAATATTAGCCGCTGCAAACTTCATGATCCCACAATTCTCCCAATATTATGATTGAGAAAGGATTGGGCAACGGAAACGATTGACGGTTAAGGGCTTGAGCAACTTGTCGCATGGTTGGCCGAAGTTGGGGATTGCCATTCAAGCATGCAAATGCTAGCTTTGTAGTGGAGACAACATCTTTTGCAACTTGTCTTACCGGTGGTGAAAGACGTTGGTCTATCACATCTTTAAGTAAAATTTGTTGGTTGTCATTTGGTACCGATGTCGATGTCGATGCCGATGACGATAATGGTAAACATGAAATCAAATCACCAGGATGCCTCCCCATAAATATTTCCATTGTTAGCACTCCAAAACTGTAAACATCACATCTCTCGTCTATTTTCATTGTATAAGCCAACTCTGCTTAAAAAAATATATTTAATCAATGTGCTCTATTAAGCAAGAAATATATCTTATCAATACACTATTATGTAAGAATAAAGAATATTGAGAAGATAATGTTGAAAAAAAATTGTAAATATTTAGAAGAATACTTGAAAATTGAAATTCTTAGGTTCTAACAAAATTTTACATTTAGTTCATCACTTTGATATATTGAATATTGAAAAACTAAGTGTTAAACTTCAAAGATTAATTACACATTCGATACTTGAATTATAGTAAAATTCTTAATTTGATACTTAAAATTTGAAAAGTTACAATCATAATACAATTTGAACTTTGTTTTACCGCATCAATTTGCATACAAAACTAACAGTTTTAATTGAATAATGACATGTTTAAAGTGTCTTAAAAAAAAGATACCAATAAATACCTGGAGCTATATACCCCGAAAGTGCCAGCAAGTGAGGTCCAATTGGAAAAGTCAGGCTTTAAAAGCCTGGCTATGTCGAAATCTGAGACATGAGCCTCATAGTCCAAATCTAGAAGAACATTGTTGCTGGAAACGTCTCGATGAATTATCGGTGGTGAATGGTCATGATGCATATAAGACAAGGCATTGGCCACTCCTTTTACAACATTAAGCCTCCTCTCCCAATCCAACTCCATTGCCTCGTCCTTGTTGCTTAACACCATTCTCAAACTTCCCCTTTCTACAAACTCATAAACCAAAAATGAGTTCTTCGGATGTGAACAAAAGCCATACAGCTTCACAATGTTACGATGCCTTATTTCTGATAAAGCATGAATCTCGTTTTCAAAGGCTTTCAAGTTGTTGGAAATCATGCTATCTTCAGATTGGTGAAGTTTCTTCACAGCAACCACCTCACCAATGGGTAGCGCAGCTTTATAAACAGCTCCATAGCCTCCTGAACCAATGCAATTGTTGGAGCTGAAATCTTCAGTGGCTTCAATAATGTTCTCATAAAGTATTCTTCCATTATACCCCCACAATGTGAAAAAATCTCCAAGTTGTGCCTCGATTGACTCGGATTTTCTGGTTTGGTTCTTTTGGCAAAGAATAAGGAAACTTCCAGCTATGATAAAAAGCAAAAGAAGAAGACCAAAGAGTGGAAGCACAATGAAAATGATGACTTTGGTGCTTTTTCTATGACCGCTGCTAGTTGCAGTGACAGCACAAGGCATTAGTCCAGTGGCATTACCACATAGTCCCTTATTGTTTCTTAAGGCATCAAATGAAGCCTCATGAAATGCCTTAATGTTAGGAATAGGGCCTTCTAATTGATTGTAAGATATATTCACAACAGTCAAGCTTTGCAAATTATTAAAAGAATTTGGGATGGAACCATTAAGCATATTGTGAGAAAGGTCCAATGTTTCCAAGGAATGTAATTTTGCAAGCTGTTGTGGTATCTCCCCAATAAGTAAATTCTGACTTAAATCTAGATTTTGAAGGCCATTTATGTAGCTTACTGAAAGTGGAATGCTTTCTCCAAGTTTATTCTTGCTCAAATTCAGGTCCAATAACTTTGAGCACTCTCCAAGTTGATTAGGAATCCGTCCACTCAAATTGTTTGATGCCAAGTTAAGATGTTCTAGATTTGAAAGAACTCCAATCTCTGGTGGAATTTTGCCTGAAAGTTGGTTACCACTTAGCAAAAGTTTGTACATCAATGTCAATGCTCCCAATTCCTTGGGAATCTCACCAATGAGATGATTTGAAGAGACATCGAGTTCGTGTAATTGAGTTGCATGCTTCAGCTCAGGTGGTATCTTTCCAGAAATGTTATTATTGGAGATTCGTAGGCTTGTTAGATTATGGCATTGCCCCCAGTTTGGCGAAAGTTCACCATAAAATTTGTTGTTGCTTAATGCAATATAATTCAAATTAGGATATATACCAAAAGCTTCTGATATATTTCCTGTCAACTGGTTTCCTTCAAGCCTAACTCTGTATAAGCTTTTGCAGTTTCTTAAACTTGATGGGATTGGACCCCTCAAATTGTTGTTCATAGCCCCAAGCCATTCGAGTTGTCCACCGTAGCATACATTCTCGGGTAATGGACCACTGAAATGGTTGTCCGATATTTGGAATGATTCCAAATGAGTAAGATTGCTGAACGAAGGAATTGGCCCTGATAAATGATTATATAGAAGACTTAACTCCACAAGCTTCGTCATGTTTCCAACTGAAGCAGGGATTGAACCAGAGAACATATTTTCACCAAGGTAGAGAGCAGATCAGCTGGTCAAGTTTCCTATGGAAGCAGGGATTGAACCAGAAAACATATTTTTATAAAGGTAGAGAGTAGATAAGCTGGTCAAGTTTCCTATGGAAGCAGGGATGACACCAGTGAGATTATTACTTAACAACTGCAACGTGTTAAGAGATTGAAGCAATCCTATTTCATTGGGGATAGAACCAGAGAGCTGATTTTCATACAGATAGAGCCATACCATGTTACTTAAGTTTCCTATAGATGTTGGGATAGGACCAGTTAGTTGGTTGGTTGAAAGATCAAGCATATTAAGTGACTTCATCATTCCAACTTCTTTAGGTATGGAACCATTGAGCCTATTGTCAACGAGGATAAGTCGGGACAAATTGTGCAAGCTTCCAATGGAAATAGGTATTGGACGGGTGAGATTGTTTGCATTAAGGGCAAGTATAGAAAGTGAACTCAACCTTCCGATTTTAGAAGTAATACTTCCAAAGAAATTATTCTGTGACAAGTCAAGCTCAGTGAGCTTGGAAAGGTTGCAAACCTCTTCAGGTATAGAACCACTTAGATGGTTAACATAGAAATAGATCTTGGAAACTGAACTCAACCTTCCTATTTCTTGTGGAATGGAACCATTGATCTCATTATTTGATAAGGAAATCAACTCAAGACTTCTCAATAAGGAAATTTCGGATGGAATATTCCCAGAAAAAGTATTGTATGACAAGTCAAGGTGGGTGAGCTTGGAAAGGTTCCCAATCTGTGAGGGAATGGACCCATACAGTGAGTTGTTACGAAGGTTAAGCCACACCAGGTTAGGGAAGAAAAAAAAGTTAAGACTATGAAGTGTACCTTTCAAGTTCAACATATGATCTGGAAGGCTTAGATCGGTGATGGTTCCATCCATGTCGCAAGTGATTCCCACCCAGTTGCAATGGTTGCCTCCAACCCACAAAGAAGAGAGCAAAGTTTGGGTGTTGTTGTCAAGACTAGCTTTCCATTTTAGAAGAGTTTCCGTTTCATTTGCAGCAACGGAGGATGAAGAAGCAAAAACAAAGGGAGGCTGATGCAGGACGACTATGAGGAAGAACAGGGCTTTGAATGGTATCATGAAAGATGCCATGATTTGGATGGTTCAAAAAGTATTGTTTGTTAATTGTTGTAAATTACATTGGCTGGCATGGTGAGGTATTTATGCAAAAAACTAGCGCAATTCAGTCACTATGAAACATCCAAATTAAGTGAAAAAATGTAACTTCAACATTGTGAATCTTTTACGTTTAAATTAACTTTATTAATTTTTTTATAAAAAATTGTAACATAAAAAAATTATAAATATTGATATTTAAATTTTAGATTTATTGTTATTGTATAAATTAATTGAATTAAATTTTAAACTTTCCCATCAATATTAATTTTTTATATTTTATTTTTTTATAAAGTAAATAAAAGATTATTTTAGTTTAGTTAATTTGCACTTATTTTAATCAAAAGTAAAGTTTAAAAAAAATTCATGATAATTAATTTAAATAAAAATTATATGATACATCAATCAAATTAAACTTGATAAATGAGTTTATAGGATTATTACATATCATTAGGTCATAATTAAAAAAATAAGTATGTAAAAAAATTAACAAATTAAAAATTATTTAATATAAATTTTATAAATTTTATAAACAAAATTAACAAATTAACATGTATTTTATAATAATATATTTACAAAAATATATAAATTTTTAAAAATTCTATCATCAATATATATATGCATATAAAATAATAATTCAATTATTAAATATAAACCATAATTCAATAGTCAAGTCAATATATAAAACAATAATTCTAAAATATACGTAAATTTTTATTCATTTAATTTAATTAAAGTATCTTTCTTTTGGCCACCCATTTTTAATATGTTCATAGTACCAATTAAATTATAAATTGCAAGATACATAAGAATCGTTAATATTATGGGCAACATAAAAGATTTACGATTCATTTGGACGGATAATGAGATTGGTCCTCATAAGATTAAAAATAGAGATAATGATAAAATTAATTATTGTAACAATAAGATTAGATATGCAACTATGAAATTAAAATCAATAATTGAATATGCATTTCAATGTAAAAGTAACTGTAGTAGTAATGTGAAAATAAAAAATGATTACTTTAGACATTAATCCACTAACAAATTAAAAAATTATTTTAATACATATTTTAATTTTATTTAATATATAAAATATAAAAAATTAATTATTTAAAGAAATAATAAAAAATAATAATGAGAGTAGAAACAAAATATTAATTTTAAATTTATTATAATTATTTTAATCTTAATAAATTTTTAAAGAAGGGGTAAAATGAAATTAAAAGAATTTTATGAAGACAAAATGTCCAAAATGGATTGCGGTGAGTTATTACATCCTTTTTCACCAATGGAGATTATTCCTCTGACTGAATCGCACTGTAATAAAGTTATTCAAATGGATAATCACAGCGGGAACGTGTTTTAATTTCTATGTAGTTTCTTATTATTTTTTTTAATGAATGCTTGTATTGTGTTAAGTCTCCTTTAAATATGATCTTTTGTAATATTATCTTTGAATATTTCAAGATGATATTCTAAAAAGACTTCTTAGAATGTAAGTCTCCTTAGTTTAGTTTACAAGTATTTTTTTTATGTCAAGCTCTATCATCTTGGAATATTACAAAAGATCATACTCTAAAGAGACAAAACCCAACACAAACATTCTTTAAAAGAGAAAAATTAAGGAATTACTTGAAAAAAAAATTTTTGGTCGAAATTACTTGAAAATTTTCACTCTATGCTTAGTAAACTTCTCAATGGATAAGAAATAAAGTCGCTGGTAATTTGGCTAAACGTGCACTTCAATTTCAAATAGAGGATTTTATATATAGCAATAGCATGGATTTTTTTTTTGGGTAATAATATTTTTTTTTAGGAGTGATAATAATTTAAATTGGATTAGATTTAATTCGTTTTTTTAGAATATATAATATTACAAATTTTAAAATTTGATCTGAATTCGAATTAATCTTTTTTTTAAATTGATCTAATCTAAACCAAATTTTATTAATTCGGTTTTGTTCATTGGTTTTTAATTTTAAATTTAATTTTTTATATATTATTTTAATCTAATTTTTAACATATTTAAAGAGATTTATATAAAATAATTATTTTATTTTATAAAAATTTAAAAATAGATATAAAAATTAATAAACATATATAATTGATTCAACTTTTTTCAGATCTTAAATTTGATCTAAATTTAAATATATATATATATATTAATATCTAAATTTGATCTAAATCAAGTAAAAAATTTGATCTAAATTGAATTTAATACCATGATTTGAAATCAAATTTTAATTTTTTTCACCATTAACTTTTTATTATAATTCTTGCTTTATTCACTTTTATTCAACATATAAAAACTGTGACCCAAGATGGATCGTAGGAAGAGCCTGAAGGAACTTGTCTTTCAAAGTAAGTTATTAAAAAAAAATGCTACGAGATAAAGAAAGTAAGACTCCATTATTTAGATAAATGATAAGATTTATTATGGTAAGATTAAAAATAGAAATAAAGTTATTGTTGGTATGATTAAAAAAAAAGTTATTATAATTGTGATTGAAAAAATTTTAATAAAAAATTTATATTGAATAAATCTCACTAAAATTAACATTTAAATTTAATTAATAATATAATAAATTCAATCGTATTACATAAAAAATGTGATCAAATTCAAATTGATACTAAAGTGTTAAAAATAGATTAAAATTAATTCAATTGGCAAAAAAATATATTTTATAAATAAAACTAAAAGAAGTACATTTTGATTATATTATTTTGATGAAATTGTCACAATCGGAGATATATGTAAATATAAATTAATTGTATAAATTCAAAATTGAGATCGATATAAGTGGTTAAATTTTAAAATATAAATGTAAAATATTTAAATTTAAATTTTTATAATTTTTTATTGATAAATAATTTATAAATTTAAAAAATTTTAAATGATCTGTAAATTTTTTTTATAGATTAACGGCTAACTTTAAATAATTTCTCCTACTTTTAAATTTTTTTTAAAAAAATATTAATTGTATAAATTTAAAATATAAACAGAATTTTTTTATAAACAAAGTTGTCGTTTGAAATAAAAAAATGTTATAAGTGTTATTTTTTAAAAATAATTTTATAAATTAATTAAATTAAATTTTGAATTAATATTAAAAATAATTTTATAAAATAATTAAATTAAATTTTGAATTAATATCGTCGTATAAAATAGAACTTTTTACATCATTGCTTACATCAGATATTTAAATAATTGATTCTCTCTTAACAGCTGTATGTCATTATAAATGAGTGGTTCAAGTAGCTCAAAACTTCTTTTTCCTTCTGACTATAGGTACGACTGTAAAATTCTACTTTCTTCACAAGTTGGCAATATCAATTCTGAGTTAAATTTGTAATGGGGAATGGTTTTTACCCAAACTCCTTTCTTTTTCACATGATTGTTATCTTGTAAATCTGAGGAACTGTAGTTGCTTTGTCCTTGCTGTTGATGGACTTGCTGAGATGCCTGATTTCTTTTCCTTGTTAATATCTTTGGGATTGGATGCCTCTCTGTTTCAAGATTTGACATTTGGTATCTCATGTTTTGGTGACTCATCGTTTTGTACTGATTTTCACTCCTGTCGTCAATAATTTTATTGCCCTTCGCACGGACTTTAATTTCAGCATTTTTTTTCAACGTATATGGTTGAAATTCCATTTGCTGTAAATTTGGATCTATCATAGAAGTCCCATGGAATTGTTAAATTCATTGAACAATTCTTCCTTGACAGAATTTAATTTCTCAATAAGTTTTGCAACATGAATTGCTAAATTTGCCATTGATTCTGCCATATTTTGGATACTAGGTTTGCCATTATTCCTTCAAATATTTGCTCCTTATTAGGATGTATTCAAATTGAATCTATAAATTATTAAATTTGAGTTAAATTTAACTTTGATTTGAGTTTAATTTAAATAAAAAATTTAAAATTTGATTCAAATTTATTCGATTAAATTGTTTTTTTATTAATGAGTTTTTAAATTAGTTTGTAATTCAATTAAGTCAATCAATTTGATTTGACTAAACTTAATAAAATTATAAATATTAATATTAAATATTATATTTTATCATTCATATATTATACTTATATATATATATAAACTCTATTAATTTTATGAGTCAATGAGTTTTAAATTTTTTGAATTCAATTTGATATGTATAATTTTTTTAAAATTATTATAAACATTAATATTTTAAAATAATGCATTTTAAAATGTTTTCATTTAATTTTTTTCAAAATTATAAAAAATTTCATTTAAACACATTTTATAAATTTTAAATATATCATTTTGTATTTTTGAAAATAAAAAACCTAGGGATTTAAGTGGAAGCGAAATGATACCATGGAGAGCAAGTGGGAGCGAAATAATAGAGGGTGATAATTAAAAAAAGAAAAAAGTGATTGGGAGATGATTATTTTTTTTTGTTAATAATAATTTTTTTAGGGTTATTAATGTTTTAGATTGGATTGGATTTAATTCGTTTTTTTAGAATGTATAATATTATGATTTTTTTAAATTTGATTCGAATTCAAATTGATCTTTCTTTAAAACTAATCTAATCCAAAATGAATTTTAACAATTCGGTACGGTTCATTAATTTTTAAATTTAATTTTTTATTTATTATTTTAATATAATTTTTAATATATTTAAATAGATTTATATAAATAATTATTTTTATTTTAGAAAAATTTTTAAAAATTTAAAAACTAATAAACATATATAATTTGATTCAATTTATTTTTTTTTGTTTTTCACATTCAGATTTTAAATCCAACCTGAACTTAATATATAAATTTAATATCCAAATTTGATTTAAATCAAATAAAAAAATTAATTTAAACTGGACCCAACACTACAATTTTAAATTGATTTTAATTTTTTTCACCATTAACTGTTTATTGTAGTTCTTGCTTATTCACTTTTATTCTACATATAAAAATTGTGACCCGAGATGGATCATGGGAAAATGCCTGAAAGGACTTGCCTTTCAAAATAAGTTATTAAAAAAAGTAAAATTACAATATAAAGAAAGTAAGATCCATTTAGATAGATAGGTTGTGAGATTTATTATGATAAGATTAAAAATAAAAATAAAAATTATTATAATTATGATTAAAAAAA